TTAGCAACATAATAAAAATATATGTTAAATATTACATTTACTTAGATCTTAAGGCTGCCACGTCTGGTAAATGTTTTCGAGTGGGGAATGGGCTCATTGTAATTTGTCAATTACCTTTAGGGGTCCGAACAATCCACAACAGCTGCCGTTTTCACCAAATGCAGTCTATGTTTTTTTACCAACTGTGGGTGTTTATCATAGACTGTATGTGTTTATACCTCTGTCCTCAGGGGGCAGTAGTGAGCGCATTACAGCATGGTGCTGCGCAATGAGGGGAAGAAGACAGCACACTGAAAACAGAAAGGTGAGCTTTCTGATTAATCGGAAGTGTTTTTAAACTGTAATTTGGGATTTTACTTTAGAATATACTCCAAGGAAGAAAACTTTCTGTTTGGATTAGCAAATGCACATCTGGTTTAACATACCAAATGCTTTGTTTTTGGTATTTTCAATGTATAACATGTCTTTTTGCTTTGTCTACAAGAACTATTTTGTAGTTCAATGCAATATCAATGAACTGATGCATAAAGATTTGCTGCGGTAAAAGCACACTTAAGATTATGCATCCCCTTGTTATCCAAGGAGGAAGCATTGGTCAGTCCTGATAATGAGTGATTCTTGGTCATGTGTAACTAAGTAATAAAACCCAGCACATTGTTTATTTCCTCAAGCTGACCTCTTTTCAGAGCATGCATAATTAGGATTATGGCACCGACCGCAGTGATTGTTTACAGAAGTCACTGTTTCTAACTCATGCCATATAAATTAAGTGTTGTGCACTTGCGTGTTTGGGTGTGATGGACATGGAACAGTTTTTAATTAACAGTCCATTCATTATATTTTGCTGTGACGTCTTTATCACTTTCAACACATTGTCCAACACGTCTTTCTGCCTCCCATGTATCCCTTCCTCCCCTTTATCTTCCTTGCTCTGTCTTCTTCTCTTCTCCTGGACTATGTTGTTCTATTATCTCTTCATCTGTCTCTCCCTCCCTCTCTATTTTTCTCTCTCTCCCCCACTCGCAGTCTCTCCCATCCCATGGGTCCACAGGAGATGATAAGGTGATGTCATACCTCCGCTTCCTGGGGATGTGAGTAACTCTGTACACTGTGTGCCTTGGGCAATGGCAGGGAGTGTGTTTGTGTTAGTGTGAGTTAGACGCAAATGGAGAAAGGAAGAGGAGGAGAAAGGAGACATGCGTGAAATGACTGACTGTAAAGCATCTTGGACAAAATGTTTTTAAATGATTGCTTAACACCTTACTCTACCTAAGTCTGTAACATACACAGGCACACACACACAAAATAATAACATCTGCCGTTCTCGTTCCTTAGAATTTTAGCGTCTTTCAGCTCATTGTTTTGGTTTTTGGTTCTGAATGTTGTGTTGATTCAGCCTCATCAGGATTCTTTCCAGACTCAGCAGGCAATCTTTTTCAACAAAAAAGCTTCAAGAAGGCGATTTTACATGTGGCCTCACACACAAAAAGGACACAACCATGCTGATGTTGACAGTGGAGCATTTAGCAATACAATAACTAAATATTTCCCTCTGGAAAAAAATTTGGTTTTGGATTCTATGTTTTCTAAATAAATAATGCCCAGATATTTGGAGAACAATGCCAAAACAATTTAAAATCTCCTGAAATGAGTTGTGTTTCCCTTTAAACGGAAACCTGTGTAAATTTAGATAGACATATACATGTAAAGTTCATCTGTTATCTGTGTGTTTTTACCTGTTTGTTCTGAGTACTCTTATATGTGAAAGTTGAATCCAGTTCATCAAAATAAACTCAGGTAACCTATTGATTTTAGATCTGAGAAATGTCTTAACCCTCTGCTACATGAACAAATATTTCACCATATTTCGGGGGAGCTTGGGGGTCCTCAATAACATATCCATCTTAAATAAAATAAAGTAAACAGAAAGGTTTTCAGTATATTTGTTCTTGTTTGGATCACATGTAGTTCCCAGGGGCTCCACATAGCCATCGGTGTACCTTATGCTGCTTAGACCCATTTTCTAAGCGCACGTTTTTAGAATTATTCACAATCTTTCAAAGAAATCAACAAGACTTAAAGCTTGCTTCATCAAAGTCAACATATGTATCTGTGTTATGAAGCCAAGCTTGCTGCACTCAAGACGCTGGTATCAGATATTTGAGATTCACCTATTACATTTTTTGTATTGTTTATCATGAAAGAATGAATACTTCACATCTTGGACTATTTTTACTGACTTTGGGTTGGTGAGAAATTAATCTGAGACAATGTATAGTCACTTGAAAATAATATTATCAGCTGTTTCCTCAACTGCTACAGAGGAAATCCAGCTCAGCCCTTGTCCCTCTTTGTTTTTGGAGAGCTGACTGACTCGCCCACTGTCACAGACGTGCTATTTCCAGTGAAAAGCTCTTAGCCTTCATTTTTAGCAAACTATACAGACGAAATCTCTGAGAGGGGAGCTAAACAGAGGGCGTCTGAAAATAACTAAAGGAGT